CAGTGTGCGGAATTTAAACAACGGAATTGAAATAAACATCTAACGATAAGATACAAGGATCTATCTGTGCCCACCAGAAGAATCCTTCACACAACAACCACTCCTCAAGCTGCACCTGTAACAGGGATAAATAAACCCTAAGTACACAATATACTCGCAAGACTTACCCAACTAGTGGGAATAATTTTCCGACTCCAAAGGATATGATAAGTTTTATGATTTGCTGGGTTTCCTTTTTGTGAAAAGCATTACTAGTAGTGAATCCTTATGTATGTATTTTATTAGCAGTCATGATTAGTTTATTAGCTCACCATTCTATGTAAGCATATGTTCTACTTTTAAGCAAGAGTTGAGCAATCAGATCCATTCATCCCCTTTCATCTTCTAGTTCTTACTACGGTGCTAGATCATAGCCAAGTCGTACCGTATCACACGGCGATTCGTGAATCAATGTATCCCAGCTGGGTACCCCGAAACACACGCCCCGCTTGTACCCGAGGCACAAGCAAGACCAACCCACCACTCTCCTATCAAGGGGTCTAGGTCCCCGTCTAAACTTGGACTCCAAGCCCCCACTCCTGAGTCCCGGACTCAGTGTGGTGCTTAGACCTCCACCATCCCCGCCTCCAATGAGTTGGTCCAAAAGAGCCGAAACTCATGACAAGAGAGCAACGAGCCTTCCCGCTCCCATAAGCAAGTATGTGCTCAGGATAATAAGTCTGTGAACCTGACTAGAATCCACAGCAACAGATGGTCTTTAACCGACACGGATAGGGAAAACAGTGTAACCAAGCTATGCCCCGTTGGCCGCGGGACACAACCTATTACACCCACCAATACCCATACCATAGCTTTGTCCGGTCTCCATTTCTTTTCAACATTTTATCATGAGAGTAATAATAATAATCACCTATTGTGAGTAACGGTAGGTTACTCACGCTACCGATAGCCCAAGCATAGCAGCTACTCGACCTATGCTAGTAGGACTCATAGGTAGGTTATCTATGCATGTAGTTCTAATATAAATCCTGTAACATAAATGCATATATATATATATATATAGTGATCATTCAAAATAAGGATTACGCATCGGGACTTGCCTTGGACAGAAGGGTGTTAGCTAAGTTAGTCAGTGACGGCTCCAGGATCTCCTCCTACACGAGAATCTCCTCCTCGTACTCCTCGATCACCTCTTTGTACTCCTGCTCTCCGATGGTCACGAACTCCACCAATTCGTTCTCTACATGCATGCAATGATGATGCAACACTTAGTATTTTGACAACAACAACTCTTAAAATAAGAATACACATGCTAAGCTACTAAACAAGCTCTAATGACTAAGATACTAAGCTAATCATTATCTCCACCAAATATATTTCAAGCTTACCCTACAAGTGCTTAACTTTTATAAACCAACATCATGCCATTATTTCTTTAGCCTTAATGGGTATTTAGCTACCATATTAAGTAGTCTATTCTAGGGCTACAAAATTATAGTGAGCACATAATAATACCAGAAAACTACCATAAAATTTTTAGGATTAAAGTTATCACTAATTTACCACAAAAATAACTACAATATTTAACCTAATAATATTAAGCACTCTCAAATGATTTAATAGCTCCTGATATCAGTATGTATATATATGAACTAAATGCACTAACAGATAGAGCATAATTTTAGAAACTTAACAAAATTTGTTGCACAATTTTTGGATACCTACATAATTTTATATGATTTACCAAAGATCATCTTAAAATTAAATCAGAAAACTATTTCTAATTCCTTATAAAAAGAAAACCGAATTCTCCCACGCGGCCCACACGCTGCCCATGAGATGAGATGCAACATACATGCTGCAGGCGACCCTCGGGCATGGCCCACGCGCATGGCCCATACGTGAAGCGGCTCTATGATGAGGAAATCCACAGCATATTAGCAAAAACACCCCTAGACAATGAACAAAACAACTCGCAGTCCATGTTACTATTCCTAGAGATAGCACCTATGCAAAAAGACCCTTGTACTCTCTCTCTTTACAACGGCATGGTACCTGGCGCTCTCTCTCCCCCGCTCTCCAGCGCATGGTGAGCGGTGGCACTGGTGACAGTGTTGGCCACCCGGGACCCATGCTAACCTAGCTAAGAGGCTGAATCTCACCAAGGGGTCGACACGTGAGGCGATGGGCGGCGGTTGCACGAGCTAGGACGCCGTAGAAGGACCTCTCGACGATGGTGGGCACCCTACGGCAATGGCGACGGTGTTCAGGTAAGCCACAGCAACAACAAGGCAGTGGGTGAGCAACGACAACTCACCAGTGACCTAACCGAGGTGCCGGCTTGGCCAGAGATGACCCGAGCGAGGCTGGTCACGTGCGCGTTGCGAGGTGAACGGTGGACCACAAAGGCACGGCGCATCAACGGCGAGGAGGCGGCACTAGAGCTGCGACTAGCATGCGCACAACAAAAAGGGGTTCTAGACAGGGCCAGTGGTGCGATCAATTCAACACGAGATGGCGAGGTTAGAGCTAGCCACGATGAGGCGGGTTGGGCCTTAATGGCGTGGCGATGGGAGCAACGCTCCAAAATTGGAGCTTGGCCTGGCCGTAATCAAGACGGGGTGGGGGCGGTCGGCAAGAGGACGTAAAGGCGGAGACGTGGGTATGAGGAATTGATGATAGGTGCTCGCTCTCTGGCTCACTGTGACCGCGACTCGACGGCGGCGAAAAGCAGAGAGAGAAAGAGAGAAATGGGGCGCGACAGGTGGGCTCGGTTTGTCCTCGCCTTGGTAGGACGCGAGCGGTTGTGGCCGAGAGACCTACGTCCAAGCACAAGGGGACAAGCACGAGCGTTCGCGACCAGCCATGGCCCGCGCACCGTAGCGCCATTAATAGCGTGACGACAGCGTGCACGGCCATGTGCGGACAGCACCCAACCGGGCCAAGGAGGGGCAACGCGATACAGCGAGCAGACGCGAGTACGGGAGTGACACGATGGCAGCGGTAGCGTCGCGACACGAGGTAGCAGTGGGTGGACGCGACGGCAGCGGCAGCTCCAATGGCGACAGTGCGAGGCAGGACAGCAGGGCGCGGGGCGAACGGCTCGCTACGGCCAGCCTCGGCCAAGCCCAGGCGGCCCGACCGACCCAGCGTGGCGACGTAGGGTGACCACGCGAGATGCGACCATGTGCGCGGCGTGGGGAGGCCGCGCGGTGACCGCACACATTGCGCCAACCAACTCGAGACAAGCACGCGCACGAATTTTAAAGCGCTGATCACGACGAAACTGTTGCTCCTAAACCTAAACCGGCTTCACTACACTCAAGATGGCATATGGAACTATTAAATCGAATCATAGCACTACACCACTCCTTAAACCAATCTCTCCAAATAAATTGCTAAACATAGCAGCGTCTAGCTGTTGACAGATTTGGAAATTTTCTAAGTTTTGAACTGAACTTGATTTCAATTTGCGATTTCTAGGCTATTGAAAATATTACAAAGCAATATTATTTTTCAAAAGCAAATATTTCATTGTCATCTACAAAGTTTGTACTTCAAACTTTATTTAAGTATCACACACATGTTCTATAGTATTTTTGCTTAATAAAAATTGGTTTTAAACCCTACTTGATATGCATGAACCATCGAACCAACTTTTGTTTAGCATTTTTATGGATCATTTTGAGTTACAGAAATTGATCTACACACTTCACATGCATTAACACACAAGTATGATACTCGTGACATGTTTTAGTAGATGATTAACGGGGTAATACCGAGGGTGTTACAAACACCCACTGCAATTCTACAAGCACAATCATTTAAGCCCCATTTGGCCAGGCTTCTTCATGCTTCGGCTCCTCGCTACAGTACTAAAGGAGCTAGAGTTGGGGGAGCCACAAATCGTGGCTTCTTTGGACTCCACATCCATTTCAAAAAGAGAGAAAAAACGACTCCTGTGAACAATACTACTACAGTTGTTGTAGGAGAAGCTGGAGCTGCAAGGAGCCACGCCAAACATGCTCTTAGAGCATCTTGAGCAGTTCCCTGATACCATCTATTATCCCCCATAAAACTCATATCGGGGGAGATAAGGCTCTTTCTTTGTTGCAACAGCCAATGAATCTTCTTTTGTGGTCACCAATATTCCCTCCACCCCCCCCGAACAAAGGGGAAGATATCATCTCCCCGATAGCCTAGACCCACCACATCTGCCACTTTCCACCCACCACATCTAGCCACTTTCCAACAACGGCGCCGCTTCCGCCAGTGGGGTGACAAATCTAGATGGAGTCGGGTTCAAGAACAGATCCAAATCGCTGCAAGCGCCGCAAGGTCCATGCAACAAGGGGGCGCGAAATCTAGGCGGTGACAGAGTCGGGTTCAGGAGACAGCGACCAAACCAGCGCTAAAGTCAACAGAGGACAAAGTCCGATGCGCTACTAGGGGCGCATATTTGTGTTGATGGAAGGAGGTCGCCGCAAGACAATAAAGGACGAGAGGAGATTGCGAGAAGCCAAACCAGCGCTGAGTCACTGAGAGGTTGAAGAATCTACTCTAGACGCTACATGTAAGTGCATATTTGTGTTGATGTATTGGTGACCTGCTGCCGCAATTTTTCAATAATATGTTCAACGGTTAGAGATGCTCTTGCTTGCGTACAGGGTAGGCTGTAGCTTAGCTGCCTAGGTGGTTGGTGAAACGTGAATGACGCCAGGGGAGAGCCAACCGCGACAAAAACATGATAACCCCTTGTATATAAAAGCAAAGACGACGACAACAATGCCTCCACACAGAGCGCAAGCTATGCTATATATGAATACGAATGAAGGCCTACAGCACACGCATTTCCCAACTGATCTCGCAGATCAAATCCTCTTCACAACCTCGTGTATCTTGCTTCCTTCCTCCCTTCCAGCTCAATTATTGAATGCAAATTTTGAGCCTTTCTTGATTTCAGCAGTATTCCTTCCTTCCAGCAACCAGCCAAGGCGGCCATGGCGACGACGGCGGTTTCAGCCTCTCCGGCAAGCTCTGGCGGCGTCGTCCGCCGGCGGCGCGTGCTGATGTTCCCGCTGCCGTTCCAGGGCCACCTGAACCCGATGCTGCAGCTGGCCGGGGTGCTGCACGCGCGGGGCGGCCTGGACATCACCGTCTTCCACGGCACCTTCAACGCGCCCGACCCGGCGCGCCACCCTCCGGAGTACCGCTTCGTCCCCGTCGGCGAGGGCGTGGCGTGGGCCGACCTCGTCCCGTCCGGCGGCGGCGGGGACGCGGACGACGACATCCCCGGCGCGCTGCTGCGGATCAACGAGCGCCTGCGGGAGCCGTTCCGGGACCGCCTGCGCCAGGCTCTCGCCCTCGCCGAGGACGACGCCGCGCCGCCGCCGGCGTGCCTGGTGCTGGACTCCAACCTGCGCGAAATGCAGCTGGTGGCCCAGGAGCTCGGCGTGCCCACGCTCGTGCTGCGCACCGGCGCCGCCGCTTGCCTCGTCGCCTACATGGCGTTCCCGGCGCTCTGTGACAAGGGCCTCCTCCCGCCGACATCGAAAGGTGATAATCACTGTGCTCTGCAGTTTGGCCTTTTTTCGCTGGTCGTATTTTTTTTCGCTGGGTCGTATTTTTTTTTCGTTGGGTCGTATTTGACTTATAATCCATGACTTATCAATCAACGAATAGTATTTTTTTCTTACACCAAACCAATCAACAATAATTTTTAGTCATAACTTATAAGCCCGAACAAGTCCAGACAACCAGAGTGTTTGTCTTGTGGATATATCAACGCCAGCGTAGTACCGGCCTACCGGCCTACACAGCCTTGCGGTACGGATGAACACGATTAGTAAAAAACCCACCTGCAACAGCAAGGGTTTTCAGGTGCCCATAAGGCCATAACCATACCATTTCCACCTATTTTCAGTTTTATGGACAATCATGTGAATGACAATGCGGGTTTTTTAGTATGTTTGCCACAATAGACGCGGCTTTATGTCGTTTCACGGAAACTCTATTGGCCCCGTTCGGCTTAGCTCATATTCAACTTGTTCGGCTCCTTTTTTCAGCCGGAACAGTGTTTTCTCTCACAACAATTCAGCCAATTTCAGCCAAATTCTGCCAGCCGAATGGGGCCAATTGTCTTAAAGATGATTATGCTATGAATACTTAAAATAAACAATACTTCATTCAACTACTAAGTATGTGTGGCGATGGCGATGGCGATGCCATTGGAGCGGTGAAGGAGGAGAGTGCCTTCCGGATAGGGGCAGCTCCTGCTGCCGCACCGCACTACGACTCCGTGATGCCGTGATCCGCCGGGGACAACGACAACTGCATCTCGGTAGCAGATTCCATGCGTCCGAATCAGTCAAGTTTCTCAGCTGAGCACATCATTTTGTAAGACAGTATTTGTTCATCGTAAACCAGCCCTCCACCCGCGGCGCCGGTCGCCGGCGCGCCGCCCCGCCCCTTGCCCCCGTGGCCTGCGCGTTCGGCTGCTGCCCGCTGGGCGAGATCCTGTTCGGGCGCCCGGCGAGACCCCGCAGGAGCCGTCCTGCCGGCGTTCGGCGAGCCCGACGCCCAACTTGACAGGACTGCCGACTGCTCCAGTTGTTTGCTGTCTGCTCCAAAGTCCACCTGTCCAAGCCGCCGACGCGCCATCGGCCACTGCCCCGCCCTCTGATTTGCTGCCTCCGCACCCACGTCGCGCGTGAGAGCCTCGTCCGAGCGGTGGGCCAGGGAGGGACGCTGGATCCGCGCCGGGAAGGGGCCTCGTCCGAGCGGCGGGCCAGGGAGAGAAGCCGCACAAGAGGGCTAGCTTGCCTGCACCGGATCCGCGCCGGGAAGGTCTCGCCTGCCTGCGTCGGGAGGGGCTTCGCCATATCCCGCGCCGAGGAGGCCTCACCGCTGCGTCGGGGAAGAGAAGCCAGGGACGCCGCCAGTGGTTGGTCCTGTGGCAGGGACATGACGTCAACGCACCCACATCGGCCGCGATGTGAGCACCACCATCTTCGACGTCTCCTCCCAGGGAGGCTTGCCGTGGGGGGTCATGCGGCATGCTGCAGCTTCGGGCGTTCCACGCTGAAATCCCTCGCTGTTGCCGTCGTTGCCACCCAGACTCGCTGTCGCGCCACCTCGTCCTCATCCCAGCACCTCGTCAGACCGCTTTGTCTTTGCAGGTCCTCTCGCCGCCGTGAACTCAGCCTCATGCCGACGCCGTCTTGTTGTCGTACCTACAACTACAGTAGCTGAATCAAGGTTCTTGACTCTACGCCATCGGGTTGCTCTAGATCCTTCCGACTGTGAGCTCATCATCCGTCAGATCGTCACCTGTCTCCTCTGTCGCCTTGTGAGATGGGGTCATGACTCCTTCAACACTGCCGGCCAGTGTCTCCGTGCTGAAGTCTGTGGTTCAAAAGTGTTGCTCGCATCACAATGACCTTCAATCGTCGCCACCACCACGTGCTTCAGAGTCGGAGTGGAGCATCGCCTTCAAGAGATGGGCTTGAGGTAGATGCTATCGCTGCCTCGCATGAGATCACCAAGTCAGCTCCTGCAGGGATGCTTTTCGATGCATTCAATGTCGCCGTCCAGGACATAGGGAGCGACACTGCCATCTTCGCTCCACCTCTTCTGCTCCTTGGGTCAACTCTTCTTTGGTGCAACCTTACCATCCTCAGCAGTCGAAGAGTTAGGCTGACGTTGTGGCCATGCCTTCATCGAATGAATGTCATCCTACACTGTCATCAAGCACTATGACTCAGTCCACGGTCGCACCTCTGACAGAGTCTTTACGATCGGAGATCCGACAGTTGGTTCTAGATTGTTTGGAGGAAGTATTGTGTCCCCTTAGGGAGGAGGCTTCTACTATTAAGCTGTGGCTAGCATGTTTAGCCAACCATTTAGAGTTTGCAGAGCCACATGGAGAGCATACTTCTTTTTCCAACATGTCTGAGCTCTTTGGCCCATGTTCTCCTGTTCGTTGCTCACCAACACCATCAATCCTCACTTCTCTTGTGTTGGTTTGTACGCATTCTGACTCCTTGGGGCCTGAGGAGACATATGTGAACACAACAAACCCTATCGCTGATGAGTTGGAATTTCACACAGTGTTGAACCCTGACAGTAATGAGGTGGATGATGCAGAGATTCGCCAAAAGATGCCCATGGAGCAAGCCACCGAGGTGCCTTCCGTGACGTCGTCAACCCTTGCTTCTCTTGTGGAGGCTTGCATGCCTGTTGACTCCTTGGTGTGTGGGGACACATCAGATTCCATCAAAGGCGAGATGACCATAGAGAAGGTCATTGTGATGCCCTCAATGGTCTCATTGCTACAGACCGTCACCCCTGTTGAGGATATTGTTCTGGTGGAGGATGCGTCTGATGATGAGGAAGCTATCTCACAAGTGACAATTGAGGACCCCATCTTTCTCATCACCATTGAAGACAACCCTATACATTCTGTGACCGACATCACGAAAGAAGTCATCATCAACATTGAAGCCAACCCTTTGCACTCTACGAGTGAGGTCAACGAAGAAGTACCCACGACGTTACAGGATCCATCAAGTAATGCAACTTCTTCAATGGCCACAACTATGGAGAACGATATGACATGTCCTCTTATACACCTACCTTCACCATCGGCTACACCTGCAAGACGTCGACGCAAGCCTATGATAGATTTTGGCTTCGCCGAAGTGGCCGCATTGCACAACACAATGTGTTAAAGGATTTGGGCGTTGTTGGGAAGGATGGGAAGCTCAATGAGAGTGCAATGCAAGACATCGTAGTTTGCCTAAAGGAATTGTTGCCACCAGACCTCCTCAAGCCACTGATGAGTTTAAAGGGTCGTGCCTTTTGGGACTTTGTGGCGGAGGCCTCTCTGCATCTTTGTTAGGGGTCATGAAGGACGGCGCAATTGCGATTTTAGTGTTTTGACGACGACTATTGTTCGTGTGATGTGTGTCACTTGGCTGACTACTGCGGAAGAGTTTATGGAGGTTCAGTCTTTGGTCTGCATTAGTGTTTGTATTAGTTGTTTCGGTTGCTTTAGTTGTGTTGTTGTTGTTTTGTTGTGTTGTAGTTTCGTTGTACTACCCAGTCTGGGTTTCTTCTTTTTAATATAATCGGCGGCTCTCCTGCCTGACCCGTTTAAAAAAAAACTACTCCGTATGTGTCAAGCTACTACTGTAAAAATTATTTTTATATTTAGATAAACCAACAAATATCATTTAGATTTCAGACATGCATATTTGATTCAACTACTCCCTCCATTTCAAATTTTAAGATGTTTTGACTTTTTTTTTGATACATAGACCTATGCACTTAGACATACACTATATCTACATACTACATAATAAGAGTAATGTATCTAGATAGAAAAGCCAAAAACGTCTTATATTTTGTAATGGAGGGAGTAGTATTATCACGGTGTTGCTGACTACTGACTTAAATTAAACTTACATTTAGAGACAAACTCATATCATTCAGATTTCATATTTACCATGGTACTAGTACTACCAACTGAAGTTAAAGTTGTTTATGTTACACGTGTTTTGGATCATCATTTCTAGGAGTCTCGTTGTCTCATGTTGTTTGCCACCCATCAGTCCATGCACCGACGAAAGCTTTCATTCCATTTAATTTATCGATTGCGAGGTGATATAAATATGTCATTTTCTCACTGAAATAACCTTTTCTAGATAATGATGATGCACGAGCCATTAAAGTGGATCTCACTTTCATCAGATGCTACGGATTAGTATGGTCCATGTTAATAAGTTTAACAACACATGGTTAATAAGAGACAAGCTACAACTTGTTGCATTATTAAGGTGAAAATCAATACCATAACTGTTCTTTTATAAGGCTTGTGAACTTGCTAAGCTTCTAAATAGTTTTTCTTGTCTCATAATGTATTGTGTTCTGCAAAGAAAAAAAGAGAGGATCAACCATAATTTTCTAAATTGAATTGTATGCTTTTGAGAGCCAACTAGAGGCCACGATAATGATTGTCGGAATCGAAGATATATGCCAATTGTGTTATCTATTGGGTACGCTGACCATTTCTCATTATTTTTCAATTATATTCCAGATAAGTCCCAGTTGGACATGCCATTAGATGATCTTACACCACTACGACTAAGAGACATGGTGTTCTCGTCCGCTGCTACACCTGCTAATATGAAAAAATGCCTAAAATGTTTAGTGGATGCAGCAAGGAGTTCTTCTGGTGTCATACTTAACACCTTCCGAGACCTTGAGAATTCTGATCTTGAAAAGATTGCCAATGGCATCGCAGTTCCAATATATCCTATTGGGCCACTTCACAAGATTTCTTCAGGCACTGCTGACAGCTTGTTAGCACAAGATTGGGCTTGTTTAGAGTGGTTGGACAAGCAAGAGGTAGACTCTGTTCTTTATGTAAGCTTTGGGAGCTTGGCATGTATAGATGAAAAGGAACTGTTGGAGATAGCATGGGGCTTGGCCAACAGTCAAGTGCCATTTCTGTGGGTTATTCGTCATAACTTGGTCAAATCCTCCTCTAATGACGTGAGCCTTCCTGATGGCTTTAAGGAGGAGACACATGGAAGGGGAATGGTGGTGCCATGGGTTCCACAACAAGAAGTTTTAAGACACCATGCAATTGGTGGATTTTGGACTCATAATGGATGGAACTCAACTCTAGAGAGCATTTGTGAAGGTGTCCCGATGATATGTAGACCCCAATTTGCTGATCAGATGATAAATATGAGGTACGTCCAAGACGTGTGGAAGATAGGGTTTGAGCTAGATGGTGACTTAGAGAGGGGGAAGATCGAGAGGGCTGTTACAAAGTTACTTTGTATGGAAGAAGGAAGGCATATGAGACAGAGGGCCAAGGATTTAAGGAACAAAGCCATTAAGTGCATCAAGGAAGAAGGCACCTCTAAGTCTGCAATTGAGCTATTGGTAAATCACATAATGTCATTTTAGTTTATATGACGTATTATGTACCTTACATGTAACAAGTAGTTCCATGAGAAGGCAGTTAATAAATAACAGTGCATGAGATGAAAAGAAGGAATTATATGACGCCAATGGCGGAGGGCTCAATGTGATGCATTGAATAAATATTTGTGAATAATATAGTTTATAATAATGTTGTTGTAGAACTCTTTACATATTTTGTGGTTAGCATAGTTTGTGTCTCTGTGCCTTCATTCCTCTACGTATAAATATTTTTCGCTTGTTTTTAGCTATTCTTGTGTGTGTATGGATGGCCAAATAGGCGACATGATATGGACATGACGACTAGGCATGGGCACAGTTACCTGGTCGGGCCGCATGTCGTGCTGGCCGGGCTTAGGCATGACCTTCACAGGCTTAGCCATGTCGTGCTGGTACGCTAACCACGGTAGGCTTGGTGTGCTCGTGCCAGTCCAAGCATGACAGTTAGCTAGCCAAAACTACTCATTTGGTTCCAAATTGAACAAATTTTCATTCATTTCATCATCTATATCACAAAACTCACACATGAATATCATCACATATTCACAGATCATAGCACAAAGCACAACTCACACACACACACGCACACACACACACACAAATAAGTTCAATCTTAAAATAGCAATATAAGTTTGAGCTGTTTATGCATTGACTATGTCATGCCAGCACGAACACAACTACCTATGTACGTGGCATGCCTTGTGGCGTTCATTTAACCTAATCCTTTTGGCTATCTATGAGTCTAATTGGTTGACTCTATCAGCCTATATCCAGGCTCGTGCAGTGTAGTCTACCCATACTTGGTTGCCTACAGAGGTTCTTAGGGCGTCCACAACAGTAGTACCAAATAGACAGCTGACGTGGTGATTTGAGTGAATAAAGAAATAAAGAAAAAAAATGGCTGCGCATGCGAGGAAATGGAGCAGCATGTCAGAGACCCCAAGTTTCTTGGTGGCCGTGCGAGCTACCTGCTTGTGCAGTCGCTAGCGAGTGAGTTTTTCGTCTTCTCTCTCTTCCAGATAGAATAAAATATACTACTTGCTAGGCTTACACAGTGCTCAAAGCAGGCCAATGATTGAACATCCCCTTCCATATATGCTATTTATCATCACCATCTCAATCAACGATATCGTCTATATGCAGCTAGATGGGTTTATCATCACCATCTCAATCAACGATATCTATATGCAGCTACTACTTGGTAGGTTTCTAGGACATGCAGCCTGTTCGTTTGTTGGTTTCAACTAGCTCAAACCAGATGGCCAAACCAACAGTATTTTTCTCTCACAATAAATCAGCACTAATCCAAATCAGTCTAGAAACCAACCAACAAACAGGCCAATAGACGCAAAGACTGACGGCCCTTAAAGAACGCAATGCATAGACAAGTGCATGCATACTGCGTGTGTGAATATACGGGCCCTAGGTTTCGGTGGCGTGACAGAATTGTAGTTTTTTTTTTGTTCCTATCTATAGAACAGCAGCATGTGAACGAAATTGCAGTTTTCATATATGGTCCACGTCGTGTCTTCTTAATTATATATACGCTCGGAGGTCTTTATCTCGTACGTCGATCTCTGTTGTTTTCGTGCCATTATTTCCCACGTGGACATACTTCCAGTGTACTAGTGGAGTTGATTTTTCTTTTGGTTCGTCACAAATACGGTTGCAGGTTCTTAAAGTAAAAAGGTGGCCAACTTTTACTCTTCGACGTGATCGAACCAACGTGCTATTGTTTGGGGAGCTCATGATGCATGTGGGCCAGCCCTCTCCGAAAGAGGTCTAAATAGAGGTTTAGGGCCTGTTCGCTGGTTGATGCTGATGCTGGTTTGGGTTGACTGGTGCTGGTTTTTTTGTGAGAGGAAAACACTGTTGGCTGGCTGGTTTAAACTGGCTGAAACCAACAAGCGAACAGCCTGTTAGGCTGCTAAATGTAAAACCCAGTTCTATCAAGAGTCCACTTACAAATGACCACTCCCCCTATATAAGTGTCAAAAGATATAAGGGATGAAGTTTCTTTGGAACAAAAAACAAAATAACCCAAATTCTTGTGACTCAGAATTCTGGTTGGAGATGTGTCGGTATTTCGGAACCGGGGGTCCTTAACCGACTAGTGAATTTGTGCTGCGTGCTCCCAATTCCGGATGGTGATGCAAAGAGACACAAGGTTTATACTGTTCGGGCAATGGATGCCCTATGTCCAGTCTGAGAAGATGTTCTTGTATTCCTTGCACCGGGGTGCTCGTAGTAGGGGGTTACAAGCTAGGCGAGAGAGGGAGTTCGTCCCAAGTCTCTGTGAGGGGAGGTGATATGAATTACAGAATGCGGCGTGTTGTTTGTGCGAGTGTTCGTGACTCTATCCGCCGTCCCCTAGAAACGGTCTGGCCGCCTCCTTTTATAGCCGCGAGGAGGAGGAAACAGGAGTACATAAAGAGAGCTACACGTGGAGCGGACTATTCGATGACGTATTTACTCCTGGAGCAACATGGCGTTGTCGTGGGAGTTCCGTAGATGCATAATCGGTATGGTCTCCACTTTGCAAGTAACATGCTTTGCGCATTTGTTGACTTGGTGGATTGCGAGGCTCGGCGGCCATCGTGGCCGGTCGTCGAGGAGCTGTTGTCTGCCGAGGCTGCCGTCTGAGAGGCTGAAAGTGACCTAGGTGTGATCTGGGGTCTTCGCCGACCATCGGCGCGAATAGTGCGAGACGTGCGCCTACGGGATCTGATACTGTATTGTCGATGAGGGATGGTAAAAAAGGTGATCGACCGTTGTCCGTCGCTCTGTTGCGGCCTGCTTGCCGATCGTGGCTTACGTGGCGGGTGCGGTGGCGCGTTAATTGGATCTGACGACTGCCGGAGAGACCTTTGAGGCAGAGGCGACGAGGTTGCGGGACGAGCCCGGCCTCGGGCGAGGCGGAGCGCGGCCAATTCGTCGAGGCCCTACCGGGGGGGTCTTGGGCGAGGCGGAGTAAGATCAGTGAATCCGAGGCCCTGTCGAGGGGGCTCGGGCGCGGCGGAGGCGATCGGTCCACGATTTCGAGGCTACGAGGAACCCGTTCCGACTCCCCGTTCGCGATGTCCTTGGCGCGGGAGTTAAGCGGCCACGGTGGTGGTAACCCCTGCTCTGTGCCGTCGCGAGATGGCGGGAGGTTAACGCGATCGGCGTGTAGTCGATCACTTGGCTGTAATGTGCCATCGTCGTGCGTCTCCGGAGTGGTTGGGCGCTTGGATCGACGTTCGGTCGAGCGGTTTGGTCGAAGAGGCGGTCACGGGCTGGTGCCGAGCCGGCCTCGCGAATCGGTGAATCGGCACTTCTTCCGAGGCCCCGGGCGAGGGGGCCTCGACGAGGGGGCCTCGGCGAGGCGGTCTCGGGCGAGTCGGAGAATCGTTCACTTCCGCTGGGGCTCGACGACGGGGTCTCGGGCGAATCGAAGATTTCGGCCGAGACCTTGTTTGTTTATTCCATTGGTTCTGTTCTTAGGGTCTAAGCATTTTTTCGATCTTTGCTTGGGGTACCCCATTTTCTGGTATCCGACGGTAGCCCCCGAGCCTCGGGCGGGAGTGTGGGATACTCTCCCTGAGGTTTTTGAGACTTTTGTTTCTCAGTGGCTCTTGTCGGGTTTGTTTTATACTCTCGCGATTACGGTGGGTGCTTGTGGCCTCTCATCACGGTCTAACCCGAGGCCTTAGAGGTGAGTTTACTCCTTTAGGGCTTTTTCTTCGTTGAGTAAAGGCGCTCTATCGCATTCGCTAGACCCATGAGAGCGAGCTCGGGTCGCTTTGTTTTCGTTTGGGGTGCGGGAGGAGCCCCGAACTGCCGAGCTCTCGCGTGCGATCCTAGGTCAGGTGGGTCTCGGCAAGGTTTGCGGGAAGAGCCCCGAGCCTCCTTGCGGGCGAGAGAGGCGGTCGGGAGTTCTCCTAGCTTCTTATGCGACCCTCGCGCATCCTTTTCGTTCGGAAGGAGGGTTGTTTGCCGAGCCATTCGTGTGCGAGCCTAGGCAGCTGGGTCTCGGCAAGGTTGCGGAAGAGCCCCCGAGCCTCCGCACGTAGCGAGAGGGCGATCAGGAGTTCCCCTGACTTTTTGTATGACCCTCGCGCATCCTTTTTGTTCGAAAGGAGGGGTTGTTTGCCGAGCCCTTCGTGTGCGAGTCTAGGCCGCTGGGTCTCGGCAAGGTTGTAGGAAGAGCCTCCGAGCCTCCGCACGTAGCGAGAGGGCGATCAGGAGTTCCCCTTGCTTTTTGTACGACCCTCACGCATCCTTTTCATTTGGAAGGAGGGGTTGTTTGCCGAGCCCTTCGTGTGCGAGCCTAGGCCGCTGGGTCTCGGCAAGGTTGCAGGAAGAGCCCCCGAGCCTCCGCATGTAGCGAGAGGGCGATCAGGAGTTCCCCTGGCTTTTTGTACGACCCTCGCACATCCTTTTCTTTCGGAAGGAGGGGTGGAACATGTTAGGCTACCCTCAGTGGGCGCGAGCGGTGACATTTCCGGTGAGCTTTTATCGGGTAAGTCTGAGTGGAGGCCCATGCCCCATTCAATAGGGGTCGGCTAGTGGTCTAGAGACGCGCTCCAAAAAAGTACCAGAAGGCTTCTTTAGCGGGTGCTAGGGCCATTCGATTGGCCCTAGGGGCTCGGTGCCTCCCTACGGTGGGATCCCCTTTAGAGAACTCCTGCTGGTCTCGGACACGACTTAGGGCATCCCAAGCAATCGCTTGCATGGGCCTCAGCCATGTACGGGCTCGCCCATAGTTGTCCCTGACTTTGTTGTCCTGGGGCGGCTGTCGAGGCCCTGGATGGGCCAGCCTTCATACCCCTGGATCGTAATGGGCTTGGTGCCCTTTTTTTGTCGCATCTTTCCGACCCTCGGGGTGTGAGAGGTTGCAGGAATAGCCCTCGAGCCTCGCGTGCGAGAGGCGCGATCGGGGAGTTCCCCGACTTTTTATGCGACCCTCGCGCATCCTTTTCGCTCGGAAGGAGGGTTGTTTGCCG